TCCACTTTTATTTCCGCTTTCTGGCCCACGTGTGATAACGTCCTAGGACACATTTATTAGTCATTTTGTAGTCCATGGTATTTGCAGAACTCTCTTCCAGCACCACATTTCAAATGAGTTCATTCTCTTCCTGTCAGCTTTCTTCATTGTTCAGTTTTCAAAACTGTGCATAGGGATTGGACTTGAGTACTATAACAATCTTGGGGGGGGGGGAATAACAACCCACAAAACACCAGCTGCAAATCCTGCCTTAAACCAGAATGACTATCAATGAAAATAAAGTAAGCTACTGAACAGTGTTCCTTGTGCATCAAAATAAAATGGAGGTTGCTCCGAGGCTATGTTAAGGGGATCATGCCTGTATTTCTGAGCCATTGGCTTAGGGATCTGGAAGCATAACAAATCTCTCACCAGATGCAGAAAGAAGAGTTGACTGCAGTTTTGTTGACTGCAAAATTGGGGCATTCGATATGCTGTGAAAAAGAAGCACATACCAGTTCTGCTTTTCACAGCGAAGCTCATTGCTTAAGAATGAGAAAGGAACAGGTTTGCATCCATTCCTCTGATGTTCTCTGCTTAAGGGAAGATTATCTTTTCCTTTTTTAAAAATTTAAGATTATAACAATTCTGTAGTGTGGGATTTTAATGCTGCCAATTCAGAGGGAAGCAAGAGGAATTCTAGCCACTTCGAGGAACAGTCATATCTCTCCAGTCATATGGCTAGATCACAAATAAAATATTTCATGCAAACTAAGTATGATAATATGCCGCAAATAAAATAAGATCTAAGGCTTAGAAGTGGATTTGGTCTTTGCAAAGGAAAAAATGGATCAGTTGAGAGATGATGGGGGTGCCTTCTATTGACATATCATTGTTCTGTCTGATGTAGAATTTACATTGTGCACCAAAACAAAGCATTTGTGCAATTAATTCTTCAGAGAGAAATCTAGTTTCCTTTTTAGCCATCTTAACTGCTATTCCCACATTTCAGTTTAATGATATCCCATTTGCATGGAACAAAGATGGGTTTTGTACTTTAACTCCTGTGGCTGGCTGGAGGATTCTGGGTTTTGTATTACAAAAGATCTAAGGCTGTATTTTTGTATTACAAAATCCATAACTGTTACAATCTGAATATTTGTGTACTGAATGGAAAGCTCCCTGATCTAATTGAGTTTCACACTAGGCATGCAGGATCTGGTTTGTCACATTTATATAAATGAACAAGTACTTTAGAATGCTATACTTTCTCCTCTAAATAACATTTGATTTATCCACAGTAAATCACAGCAAAGGGGAAGAACCTTTGGGGTTTTGTAAAGCATTATATGCAGTGATGACACTGGTACATGCTTGGTGGCTGTGCGATATCCCTCCGAATTATCATGTGTGTTCCTTGTGTGTGCCCCCCCCATAATGAGGACTGCTCTAAATTTTAAATGTGCTATCCAAGGTTTGGACTTATTTTGAAGATATAGTTAAGCACCTTGGATAGCTCCTCCAGCTCATACTTCAGCCTCTCCATCCCACCCACACAAAGTTATCACCTTCCATATATAACAACCTCAGGGAATGGTCTAGATTATTGGGGCAGGCAAACTTGGCCCTCTTAGGGATTTTGGACCTCAGCCCCCAGAAGCCTCAGCCAAGTTGGCCAATAGTCTGGGATTTTGGGAGCTGAAGTCCCTCGGCCCTTAAAGGGGACAGTTTGCCTGCCCCTGCAAGCAATACAATAAGTTTATTTAGACTGAGCATCCAGAATTAAGTACAGTGTAGCCGTTGT